CTGGTTATGCACAGTGCTGGATTTAAGATTACATGGTTCTTGGTGGTGGCATCCAACATACATTTCTCAAGCTTAGCATAAAGCCCATGTTCCCATAGGTATTTTATGCACATAATAGCTTATAAGTATATCCTAAACAATATACAAACAATAAATAATATAAAAAGCAATAATACTTAGCTTATAAAGATGTATGACAGCCTCCCTAGGTCGTTACCCAAACAAGCGACCTATATCATATATAGTATAAACCAAAACAAAGGAGATTCGGGATATGGCTGTGTAAATCTACAGAGAAAACATAAAACAGAACATAGTGTGATATTGTTATGAAACACAATATTTCATGCGCAGTAATCTTGTGCACTCACAGGATGTAGATAGTAAAAGCGCTCTTAGGGTGCCTTCCCCAATAAAATGGGGGGCTAGCTGGTATTCCTTATCACCTCTGGATCCTTGTTCCACCCAAAAGACATCCACAGGTAGGGTTCAGTAATAAAAAAATGTATTTAGATAAAAAGTGTAGTCACCATTTCAGCATAGGATATAGATAACAAAAAAGTTGTCCTACGCGTTTTGTTCTATAAGAACTTCCTCAGGGACCACAATTAAAAACAATAACAATGTATCAATGTACAATACATGAACATATCCTATACAAATCCCCCCTCCCTGTGTCCTTAAATAGGGCTAATAGACTTTAGGGATTAGCCCTATTTAAGGACACAGGGAGGGGGGATTTGTATAGGATATGTTCATGTATTGTACATTGATACATTGTTATTGTTTTTAATTGTGGTCCCTGAGGAAGTTCTTATAGAACGAAACGCGTAGGACAACTTTTTTGTTATCTATATCCTATGCTGAAATGGTGACTACACTTTTTATCTAAATACATTTTTTTATTACTGAACCCTACCTGTGGATGTCTTTTGGGTGGAACAAGGATCCAGAGGTGATAAGGAATACCAGCTAGCCCCCCATTTTATTGGGGAAGGCACCCTAAGAGCGCTTTTACTATCTACATCCTGTGAGTGCACAAGATTACTGCGCATGAAATATTGTGTTTCATAACAATATCACACTATGTTCTGTTTTATGTTTTCTCTGTAGATTTACACAGCCATATCCCGAATCTCCTTTGTTTTTGTTTATATTTTATGCACATAGTCTATATTTTGGAGTGGTGAGAGCGCGAATATCAGACTGTCATTAATGTAGATTAGTGAAGGTATCTACTAACTAGACTTTGAAAATTACATTGTTCACAAAATGCTGAAAGGTGACTGGGTTGTTGACCAAACCAATATTCAAAGTGTCCATTATGAGATCTGAAAACTGTTTTGCATTCATCACCCTCGCATGAAACTACAGGTTCCCTGCAGGTCAATTGTATTGTAGATGGTAGTGTTCTGAAGGTGTCAGAACATCTCAGAAATCAACTGAGGTGGGCATCTGTTTTTTATCGCAATCTTGTATATGGTCCTGTAATCCATGCAGGGATGAAGTCTTCCATCCTTTTTACCCACAAAGAAGATACCTGAGATCATGACCAGACACACCCTAATGCCCAGACACACCCTAATGCATCCGGAGTGACCGCTGCTGAATAAGTGGACAGGGAGATGAGAAGGTCTCCCTGACTAGCTGCATTTCCCACCTCGGATCGGGATTCCCTCCACCCTGGTTAAAGGTAAACTTCAGGGAGGAGGAAAAAAAACTGATTTTTTTTATATTAATGCCCCTTGTCTACACCACCTAACCCCCCACTTCAGCCTCTAACCTTCCTACTACAGCTCTAAACTTCCACTACTGTCTCTAAGTCCCCAATACTGCCCATAACCCCCACAACTGCTGAGATAACCCGACTACTGCTTCTATCCACCACTATTACCCCTAACCCCCACTACAGCCAATTATGTCCATCTAGATTTTCTAGGCCTCAACTTCAGCTGCTATCCCCCCACTACATCCCCTATCCCTACTACAGTCCCTATTCTTCACTACTGCCCCTATACCTAATTACAGCTTATAAACCCAAATCAGACCATGTCCCCACCTGCTCGTCCTAACCTCCACTACAGCCTCTTATTCCCCCAACTACATCTTCTAAACCACCACTACAGTACCTTACACCCCACTACAGTCTTTATACCCCATTACAGGCCCTAACTCTCCACAACAGCCCCTATCCCCACTACAGATTCTTCAAAGTACAGATTTATTCAAACAAAATGCAACATAGTTTGAGGTAAACCTCATACAGAGTAATAGATTAAGTAATGAGTGCGCAATTTATTTATTTTTTTAAAGTATGCCCAAAATATATGTATAAGTTCAGCCAGTGATTGATTCAAGAAATACCCACTGGCCACAGAGTCAATGACAGCTGTTATGCGGTGGAGCTTATTTCTCCATTGGAGAGACGCAGACATGGGGTGGTTCGATGGCGAGAGCGGTAGGTTAAGTATTGTGGGAAAGAAGAGAGGTAACTCGCTTACTAGGCACAGTGACAGAATTGGTAGGACAAGTCTTCAACATATGATCAGCCTCACCACAATAAAGACAAAGCCCTTGGGTCCTTCTGCATCTGCAAAGGTGGCAAATGCCATGCTTCAATACGTTGTCTTTCATGCTATAGTATAGCTGCTTGAATGTGTCACATATTCATCCGCACATAAAAATGTGGTTAATGGCATTTACTGTCCTGACAGGAAAAGTTGTGCCGAGCAACAGCAAACAGCCAACCACCTAAATGGAACTGAAACGTTGGCTGTTACACTTTTTTTAGTAAAGAAGTTCTTGAGAAAATTACCTGGGAGTGCTGATTTTTGTTATATATATATATATATATATATATATATATATATATATATATATATTAGATAAACATTCTACAGGGAAAATCAATGTGCAACAAAACCTTACAGTAAAAAAACAAGAAATAAATACAAATAGCCAGAAAATGCTACTGTCCTTTAATATAGAAAATACTGCAAACAGTGTTATACCTCTTCAGCAAATGAGGACACCGGGCACAACATAAATACCACCCGACTTTTCGACCCTTGAAAAAAATTATCATGCCGAAACGTTGGGTGGTATATATACGTGGTGCCCTGCCAGCATTCTGGTCGGTCCGTTTCAGGTCACCCCACCCACCCCACATTTAATTTAATTATTCCATTCTTCTCCTTGGTTGGCCTTCTTTTATTCACAGGCCTACCCGTAAGTCGTTTTCGGCACACTACAACCGACTTATCACCATCACACACACCATCCCACAGGGGTATACAAAAGGAAACAAGAGAGCCCTCTAGTTACGCTAAATTCTTTGAAACCCTGAGACTACCTTCGCAACAAACTATAAAATAGTGTACCTACACATGTCCAAAACATCAAAACATACTGTTGTATGAGACAAAAAAAGGGAAGATGTGCCTTAACTGCTACCCACAGTGAGTGCTATGAAATATAAAACATGTCCAAAGAAGGCTTGTTTTATATTTTATAGAACAAACCATGAATGAGTTGCAAAAGTAGCAAAGTTGGAGAATATTTCCAATTGTAACAGAAAAAAAAGTAACTGTTTATTCACTAAACTCCAAACTGTAATAAAATTTTAATTAAAAAAAAAAATATGTAGGCATACACCTTTCCTGCACTGAAGTGGTTGTGGTTGTTGGAGTAACCCTGTACAACTGTGACAATGCAGAATTACCTACATGGAATACTTAATTATTGAGCCACTAAATATAACAAAAGCACTTGGATACAAAATATCCAGTGAGTATATAACTCATCAAATATAGAAATGTATTTTGATAAACTATATTACATAAACAATGCAACAAATAAAATATATTCTTTATTATGTCACAGCCTGGGGGGGTTGGGGGGAAATGACCACTTCCCTTTTCCCCCCTGGTTATTTCCGGTTATGCCTGTCCCTTTAAGAAACCCCTACCACTAGGATGAAGCTGATTAATGATTGGCGGTGGAGAAACACAGCGCAACGTAACCTGCTTCCACTTTGACTGACAGAACCTCCAGCCACTCGCGCAGCGCTCCCTGTCAGCAAAAACTGTTGTTACCGCGACGCGGCCAATCGGCGCCCTGTATTCCCTTCGGCCTCATAATCTAAGGGAGTTCGGCCGTCCAATCAGAATCCGCGGATTGTGCAACGGGGCAGACGTCTCGACCAATAGGCGTGAAGAAGGAGGACGGGGTTCAAGCGCGGTTGAGAGATATGCGAGAGAAGAAGGAAAGTTTAATAAGAGAGGTAACAATATCATTCTATAGAATGTCCACACTGGGACAATAGGACATCTGGACGGTCATAGCACGTCATGGGATTCCTAGGGATCCTAAGGGCGTTTTTTTTCTACATAAGAGCAGTGTTTATGGTGTTTATTGTGATCTCACTGATCCAGGGACTGATTAGAATTAATTAACCCCTTAGACTCCCACCAAGCCCGGGTATAAATACAATTTAACCTCATATAATGGTTTAGAATAATATTAGAATATATGTGTTTTATTGGGAAATGAGGGGATAAACCCTTTGTGCTTATAATTCTTATTATTTAAAAAAAAATATGTTGTTCATAATATATGTGTGGCCTGATTTTTTTTTATTTATTTTTTTAATATTGT